TTTCTATTTTTACTTGAATTAATATTATACATACAAATTAAGAAAAGGAAGAGACAATTTAATGTCACATGAATAATACAACCTTCCTCAAACGAAACGAAACAGTTGAAATGAGATAAACATTCATTTTTTAACGAATATTATTTCAGACGTTTTCATCATATACTAAAACTCTCTTTTTCGTTCCTAACTAGATCTACTGTATCCTGCATAAATTATGTGTTATAAGAAACTGAAGAAAAGTAACTATAAAGTCTTTTTACCTGAAGGTTGTCATGATTAATGTGGGTTACAATCATACCGTGCCTTTTGTATATAGTCAGTTGGTTCACTTTTAATTTTTGGTTCTTGAGTTTGTTGAACAGTTTTATATTGTGTAGTATTTGAAACTTGTTCAGCAAGATTATCCTGCCTAGAATTTGGAGTTTGTTTGAGACGATCATAGTGCATAAAATGATTGTTTCGGCCTGTTACTCTCGATGATATAGATAAATTCAAAATAATTTTTTCTTTCATCACTGTGGCAGCTGTACGTTGACACCTTATAATCCATGAAGTCTATATATTTATCGTCCATAATAAAATTATTATGCAGCATATGACGTGTAGCGATAGAAAGCTACTAATGCTTGATACGAATAGCTTGGTGTCTTCTTGTTCTACGAAATCAATGACTCAATAGCATACCATTAATATACGCGTGAGTATTTCATAATTTTTTTTAGGCAGAGACAAAAGGTATTTGTATGCATATTTTAAATACCAAAGTTTGATTAACAAATGATAAAAAACACATTTCATTGAAATAAACATATTTATGAACGTTGTTAATACCTCTATGTATTTTGATTCTTTTATTAAATTTTTTACAATAAATCTTTTGGTTTTAATTTTTGTTTCGATAAAATAAAAGAATATATATTATGAAATCCTCATATCAAAATAATACGAAAAAATGACCGTTTTAATATATATTCATTGGCAAACAAGCTGTTTTAATTATATTCTATCAATTTATATACATATCTTAGAGATATTATATATTAAAAATAGTTGGCTTAGTATTAACAGAATCTGAAAGTGCTTTCGTTGTGTTATGATTTTCAAACTTCTTATTATTTATAAATAGAATAAGACTTGCATTTTTATTTAATTAAATGAACGCAAATCAAAGAATTGTTGTAGTTTGAAAGTGTTCAATCTCGAAGTAAAACTTCACTTTTGGTATTTCTGATACTTTGAGTAGTAAACTGTGTGTTTCGATAGTTTCAAAAATGTAGTTGAGAACGGCAAGGCATAGAAATAATCAAATCTAAAAGTCTATTTCATTTTAACTAAACATAATTACAATATCGAAACAAAATGTTCAGTTCTTGATCTTGATATAAATGTCTAATTCTAGTTTTTAATATCGTTAAATTCATAAAAGAGAGTGTTAAATCAATCCTTAACATGAGTAGAAGCAAGAGGAATAAATCATGTTTCTCTATTGACCTTTATTATTATTATATAAAAAATAAAGAGAATGAAAAAAAAATTGTTTTTTTACTACAGATGATAACTATAGATAATATAAATCATTCTTTGTTCATTTCAGAATATTTTCATTTATGATAAGTTTGACCGTTATTTAAAAGTGTCTAAAATCATAAATTCATGTGTTTTTTTTGAAAAACAATAAGTATTTAAATTATATTTACAGCCATGCTGTTCCTTCTTTTAAAACTTTCATTGGACATGATAATTGATTTGTAGTATATTTTTCACATGTATCGTCGATTTTACTTTGAGGATCGTGTTCTTCACGTAAACGCCAAAATGCATCAGCAAATGTAATAAAATCAATTGTTTGAAGTCGTTTACCATGAAATGTTCTCGAATAATTTGTTGAAATTTCTGAATATTCATTACGATAAAATCGTTTTAAATGATGTGCATAAACAATCAAAGCTGTACCAGTATAAAATTGATCAGCAAAAAGCGTAATTAAATCTTTATGAATATGATTATCTTCAAACCATTTTCGAATATCTTTTGATGTCCAAGATTTCAATGAAGTGTCAATTTTTGATGTTTTTGCTACAATTGGTTTTGATGGTGATGATGTTGATGCTGGTATCGCAATCGATTTTTGATCAACAGTAACTAATGAAAGAAGTTCATTGAAAGCCTCGGTAAAATTTTTTCGACCAAAATGTACATATTTTTGACCAGCAATTCGTATTCCAAGCCAACCACTTGCTTTAAATTGTTGTTCTGGAGCATAAATAGGTACAATACGTTTTTTTAATGTATCAGTAGCATAAGAAAGTTCTTGTCGACATGATTTTGAATCATAATATTCTTTTGATACAATTAAAATAATAATACTTGCCATTTCCATAGCACCAGCAATTTCTTCCCATAAATCATCTGAATGCGCATTATTTTGAGTTACTTGTTTATAATCGACCCAAACAGTTATATATTGAGATAAATGTTCAACAACTTCCTTACAAAATATTGAATCGCTATGAGAATAACTAATCATAATCATTGGTTTTTCTTCGGATATATGTTTTTGTTGAGTTATATATAAGGATTTTAAATTCCAAAGAATACCTTCTGTTGCTTTTTTTAATGAACATATATCTCGTGGACATGATCTATTATGGGTGTTGGTATATAATAATGATGATGTAGCTAAATTTGATATTGTATTCATAAGAGCTTTATTTGATCGAAATTTTTCATGATAAGATTCATGAAATGATATACTCCATAAAAGATTAGCTAATGATACTAATGCTTCATCATTAAGTGCCTGTTGACATCTTGTTAAATCATTATTAGTCATTGTAAATTGAATAAGTAATTGAGTTAGACAATCAAATAATTGACTACTTTCATTTAAACATTTATTTACAATATCATCATTAACAAATAATTTACATAATACACATAAAAATTCGGATATATGACAACCTTTGTGTATAAATAATTCATTTTTCGATGCTTGAATTGTATAGGAAACAAGTTGTTTAAGTATATTACACATCAATTTATCAGCAAATACAAAATTTCGTTTGATTTCATCAGCTTCGACAAGTAAAGCATAAATTATAGATTGTATAAAATCAATAGTTGCATATTCTTCTTCAGTATAATCTTTTTTCATTTGTTCTTTACTTGCATTAAGTGCTTGAATACAATTTAATTGATTCAAATATTCAACAGCTACTGCATGTCGAGCAAGTTTTAATAAGATATGAGCAAGTAAACAATCAGTTTTTATTGATGGTCTTGGTCCACTTACTTCTAACCATTGAATACAAGCATTTGGCCATTCAGAACGAATGATCATTGCTACTAACATAGGTTTTTTACATAATATTTTAATTAGCATTAAAATACTAATAATGACGTTTTGTCTTTGTTTATTATGCCAATTATTTTTAGCAAATACAAGTAAATATGAAAGAAGATTTGATGGTAAATTATTTTCATTGATTAAAACAAATGCAGATGAACATCCAATAATAGGTAAAATACAAGTAATAAGAGAATCATATGTATCATCATTTGTAAAATAATTTTGTTTTAATAATGGTAAATAATTATGAAAAATAATTTCAATACGAGTTACATCTTTAATAGCAAGAAATAGTTCGTATAAATTTACATCTTGATATAAATCACTGATTGAATTTAAAAATAAATTTGTTAATTGAGAATTTTCATTTTCATCTAATAATTTTTTATCAAATATTGATATGATTCGATGTAAATTATCGATAATAGCAAAGGCAAATGGTTTGTTTTTTAATAATCCATAAGGAGTCGCTTGTTTTAAATAGATAAGTAAACGTTCAATTGTATCAGCATATTCATTTGATTTTTGAAATAACGATAAACTTTTTAAATCATTCACAAAATCATTCGTTGCCGTTTCATAATGTACACTACTCCACTCACCACTCATTTTGTTTTTTTCTGTATTCTATGCCATATTAATCCTTTGCATACATATATATATATATATGTTCTTACCTTCAGATTACAAATACGTCATTTTATTTTATGAAAATGGGGTTAACATATTATGCTAATAGTATATTGATATTAATGTGTCATATTGACGTAGACGAAAAAAAAATGAGCAAAATTCATAGGACAATACTGAATCATTTTAATCGCTCCAAGACTTTATTTTATCGGATGAATAGCCACTTTTTTTTTTCGTGTACTGTACTGTACTTACTGAATATCTAAAGTACACACAACCACGCATAGAGAAAACGATGAGAAGTAGGTATTTAATGCGCAATAATAACATATTTATTTTCTAATTCAGTTTTATTTAACTAAGAATTGAATAGACCAAATGATTCTATCATTTATAAAAAAAAAGCCTAGAAAAATTTTCTAACTGTCTGAGAATTTTTTTCTCTATTTATAACCATTCGTTCGTATATAATTTTACAGTATATGTCAATAACGATTTATCCCGATCAATTGTTTTACATTGATTAAACTTGACAGATCTAATTTCGTTATGAATTTCTCATATTATTCATGAAATATTGAATTATCGTTATTTTGATTTGACTAGAGAGATTATGATATATAATTTGTAGCATCTATTAAAATTTATCTCGAAAGAAAAACAATATTTTTGCTCAATTATCGTGCATATAATAAAAAGAATATGATCATTGGGTTTTTCGTAAATTTATTTTCAAAGCCTACTATGATTCGATGCACATTAATCTTTCTTTCTATCTTGTTCGGCCGTCATAATTGTCGTCGGACGTCTAACTTTACCCTTTCCGTCCGCTTGTTGCTATAGACTGATTTGAATGATATCAATGAACAAAGCAAATTATATCTGGTAGCATTTAAGCATGTATGTAGCAGTTGAGCATTCATTTGTGAGCTGCATTTTTTTTTGCAAAGATATTCAATCAATCACAACAAGTATGCGAAGTATTATTATAGTTAATTTAATTATATAGTAAACAAATATTTTGAACGAATATAAAAAACTGAAGTGGGGTTGTACTTGAAAGCGTTGATTCTCATAGGAATATAATCTTTTTTTTAATTGAATTGTATTCTCTTCGTATACATAATGTTCGATATTATTACTCAGAAGTGAATAGAGAGAGTCATCTTTCATCTGAAAATCGAAATTCTCCTAAAATTTCTCATTCATATATATAAAAAGAGGGCGCTTTTGAAAATATTCTTTTCTATTGGTTCATCGAACACCATCGCTTTGTCTGTGTAGTTTGACCCGAACGCTTGATCACATCAGTCGTCCATCTGACAACAATACTAAGCTAGATAATGATTATTTCATTCAAATATTTTAGATCATAAAAACAATGCCATTACTTCCAAGTCCAATACCTCCACCGGTTTTTGATTCTGATGAATCTGATGTAGCTAGTCAACAATCAACTGATAGTAGTAGTTATTTATCATCTCAATTTACCCAACATACACGTCTATCCTATTCACCAAAATATATTCTAAATCAACAATTATCAATACATTTTGATGATTCATTAAGTAATCAAGATGATTCATCATTAAATTTCGACTCAATATTATCAACTAAACCAATTTATAAGAATAAAAAACGTAAACGAAGTCATGATAAATCGGAAGAAAAATCACTTCATACACCTAATCAATCACCATATACACGACGTAAAAATCTTAGTTATGTACAAGAAAATACATTTCAATCACCTAAAATTCAACGTCGAAGTCGTCAATGTGATGAATCAATACATATTCCAACAACAACAACATTTTCTAATCTTATTAATATTAATCCATTTGTTAAACATCGTTATCATACACGTCTTGTTGCTAAACGTCAATCACTTATTTCATTATCAATTCAACGATTTGAACAAGAATTTCATCATGATTCATTTCTTGGTCATGGTGAATTTTCTCATGTTTATTTATGTACTAATCGTCTTGATGGTTTAAATTATGCGATAAAAACATCGAAACAATCAATTATTGGTACTAGTTATGAACAAATAGCATGGCGTGAAATATGTGCATATGCAATATTAACATCACATGAAAATTTAGTTCGTTATTATTCCGCATGGATTGAATTAGATGGAAGATTTTTTATTCAATTAGAATATTGTAATGGTGGTTCATTAGAAGATTTAATTGAAAAAAATCGACAAATTAATGAACAAGAATTAGTAAATATTTTACATCAATTATCAGATGTCTTATCTTTCCTACATGGAAAAGATTTAGCACATTTAGATATCAAACCATCAAATATAATGATATGTCAATATTCAGAAAATAATATACGTTATAAATTAACTGATTTAGGACATATTAGTCAAATAAGTTCATGTACAATTGATGAAGATGGTGATAGTCGATATTTAGCATTAGAAAGTTTACAAAAATCACATACAAAGAAAATTCAATTAGATAAATGTGATATATTTTCATTAGGATTAACATTATATGTATGCGCAACAAATTATAATTTACCTAAACAAGGTAATGAATGGCAACAACTTAGATTAAATATTACGCAATATTTACATTCAATTACACATTGTTCAAAACAATTTAATGATTTATTACTTGAACGTATGTGTAATATTGATCCTAATCAACGACCATCAGCATATGATGTAAGTTAAAAATTGATAATTTAATCGTAATTAAGTTATATTCTTATTGAGTGATTGTTGAATCGTAAGTGCTAGATTCTTATCTATTGATCTAGAGAGTCATCGCCAGAAAATATATGAATAAGAATGATTGGTTCTTTGTTGACATTTATTAGCATGTGTTCATATATATTCGCTGAATTTAATGTCGCATGTGTTTCCGCTAGTATTCTCACTTCCTGAAGGCTAAAAACAAGTCGAAATGGAGATAAATGCATAGGAAGATAGCTTGAAGTTTACTCTTTCAGAAACACTATGATCTTTATTTGGTGTGCCTCTTTTTTTGATGATTTAGGTCATGTTTTACTTGAAAAATAAGCTTTTTTCTCAGTTAACAGTTCGGAGCGCGCATCCAATATTTGAAAATTTTTCTGTTATTTGAAAGAGCATGTCAAGGAGCAGTGCATGATGAAGTTCTGTTTTAAAAATAAGTTTTGCTTTTATTTTATATACAGACACATTTTTTAAGAGTTTTGAAGTCATTAAAATTGTGTCTTCTTTTCGTCGCTAAAAAAGTAATTATTTAAAAAAACCGACTTCATCATGCACTGCATCTTGACGTGCTCTTTCAAACAAAAAAACATTTTTTAAATATTAAACGCTCCTTAACCACGAAATTTTGAATGCCAAATCAGCTATTTGTGATACTTGCTCTGTTGGTATCTCTGGAAAACGTCGTAGGATCGGACCGAAAAGATGAGTTTTTTTAGGGCGGGGGCCTTAGTGATCGTTCTTACCAAAAACTTCTTCAGCTAGAATTTTAATTAATTTATATTTTATTTTAGTTATTACTTGATCCTACTGTCAATCCAATCGAACCAACAAGTCGAGAATCTCTTCGGTATGTTTTTATATTCTAATTAAATTGTAAAAATAATAAATCGAAACTCTTTTTAGACATAGTTTAAAACAAGAACGTGAAAAGAATTTATTATTAAATAAGAAATTACTTGATCATTATCTTTTCTCAAATTCTTATGATGTACAAATGTTACCTAATGATATACAATTTCAACAAGGATTTCTTTCGCCATTACAATCAATACTTGTTCCACAGGAACAAAATGTATCGACACCTAATAATCATTCGCGAATATTATTAATTAATTCACCAAATACACCAATGTGTTGTACAAATATGAATAATCAAACATTAATATCTCCTGGACATTGTGGTTCATTTGCAATGAAACAAATTAAATTAACCGGTTCAAATATGTTTCGTCATTACTCCAGTATTATTTAAATCAAGATATGATAAGCCATATAGAATTCTATAATAAAATAATTGTAATTTCTCTATTTTTTTTCAATTATAAGATAGTAAAAATCATTGTATATATATATATATACACTCATGTTTAAGTGTATTTTTCTTCTGTATATATATTTGATTTTTGTTAAAATATCATTAAGTAAATATCTCTGATATTATTGTATTTTCGATTTTCTTTTTCCTTTTTGTTATTAATAATCAAGAAGATATATAATTGATATTTTTGTATGTATACTTTTTTTTGTTTTTCTCGCCATTACCTTGTTTAATTCTCGATTATTATTAGATATACCTATTGATTTTGTTTTTGTATTTTTCTTGCATTTACTTATTTCAAAAATACTGATATGATAGTAATAATAATAATAATAATAGTATGAAAAAATATATTGTCGTTCTTTTTTTTTAATTTTAAAGATGTATGAAAAAGAAATGGTTTAAAATTATGTTACGTATAGATTTGTGTTCTGTTTAATATCCTAATAACTCTCTCATTTATATCTTTTTCTATCTAATTAAATAGTCATTCTATTTTTTAGAAAATATCAACGAAAAATAAAAACAATGACAATATTTAATCTTTATACAATAATTATTTTAATTTCTATTATTATATTGACATATTTTCTTGTGCAATATGTTCTCAATGACAAACAAATCTATACA